GCAAGTAATATTTATTTTATCCATTTCTTCTAATAATTGCGCTGATCGTCTCTAGTATATTTCTATCAGCCGGTAATTTTGTATGCTTAACACCATTAAATCCTTGCATAGCAAATTCATACTTTTTGTCCATCAGTTCTTCACATGCAATGGACAACCATCTGGATTAATCTCAAATTTCTTGCACCAACATTTTTCAAATGTTTTCAAACGGTATTTACAATGGAGTTTGATAATGAAACCAATAGTTTTCGTGATAGATCCGGTGTAGAAATTCGTATCTTTGATTTTGGTTTATTTGATGGTTTGTTATGGGAATATCTTGAGTTAGAAGAATTTCAACTGTATTTCCAGCAAATGGGGTACAGTAATGGCGTTAATTTGCATGGTGCTCCGTATGATTTTCGACGAGCAGTCACAATGATATCGGATTTTACCAAGAATTTGACATCTGTCATCGAAAAAACGTTTTTATCAAATGGAAATAAGCGTGTTTATTTAATAAGTCATAGTACAGGTGGATCAATGACATTATATTTTCTAAACCAACAAACTCAACAGTGGAAAGATAAATATGTAGCCGGTTGGATATCTTTGAGTGGTAATCTGGCAGGTGAAATTGATAATCTACCCAATGTTATTAATGGGTTTTTACCGTTAGTGTTCTCACAAGCAGCTCGTACATGGGATTTTTATGCATGGAGATTACCAGAACCGATTGTTTACGGGAACAAAATAATCGTGTCGACTTCTTCGAAACAATATTCATCTTTTAATATGTCAACATTATTAACAGACATGGGAGCTGTAGAATTAGCGCTCGTTTATCCACACTTATCCACAGTTCTTGCGTCATTAGATCCACCAAATGTGAACACATGGTGCTTTTATGGTGCAAATTTGTCAACGCCAATTGGCTATGTATATGCAAATGGTCTTAATGAGAAGCCAACATCGATTATAAACGGAATGGGTGATGGTGAACAAGATGATTTAACTAACATGTCATGCGAGAAATGGAAAGAGACAATGGATAAAAAGTATGAATTTGCTATGCAAGGATTTAATGGTGTTAAGCATACAAAATTACCGGCTGATAGAAATATACTAGAGACGATCAGCGCAATTATTAGAAGAAATGGATAAAATAAATATTACTTGC